TCTTAAGGACCACACAGACAGTAGAGAGATTGCATCACAAATACAGGACTGTAATATTTTCACATGCCAGCTTTACAACCTAGAAATCAGAGCACTATAGCTAGAAGATTAGAAAAAAGAGGTCTCTCCCCTCCTTTAGCTTCTTTACTGGGTACATTAGAGAGCACTTTTTATAAAACCAGTTTGACGACTTCTCCTATACAAGTCCATCAGTTTCCCCCAGCTGCGTGGGTTTCTCACACAGCAACTGAACAGATAAAAGCAATGATAAAACCCAAAACCTGTGATTGTAAAACCCACAAATGTTGGGCGGGAGGGCAGGGTGAGTTTAGTTAATAAATTAACTCAATGTGTGTCGTTCATTAGATTTTAAGTTGATGGTGTGACTAGAATCAGTGCAATGGAGACTTTATAAGTGTGCCCTTCCTCAACACATAACAGCAGGAAAGTATGAGAACTCTTCCATCAACACGGTTACATAGTAGATTACTAGGGAGCAAGCTAGCTGCAGGCAATAGCACAGCATACTCCTATGCTAACTGGGTACAGGTTAAACTTCCAAAACCCGGGATTCTCTGGTGCAGCAACACCCATGGTCTGGCAGGACTACGGATGTTGCTGGATCAAAGAGCTCCAGGACCCAGGAGTATGAACCCCGCCCCCAGGGAACCCCAGCCAGGCAGTACAGCAAGTGGACTGGCAAGCCCCATCCCCTGGAAACCCTGGCCAGGCGGTGCAGCAGCAGGACTGGTGAGCCCTATCTCCGGGGAACCCTGGCTGGGTGGGGCAGCAATGTGACCAGCGAGCCCCACCTCCCAGGAACCCCACAGAGCATGGCAGAAGTGGGGCAACAGGCAAGCCCCATCCCAATGGGGGGGGCACCGTGGCTGGGGAGCTCCATCCCTGGGGAGCCAGCACAGGCTGGAGCCCAGTGGCAGTGGGGCCGGATCGGAGCTAGCTGAAGGGAGAGGAAGCACCCTGGGAAGCCGGTGGCAGGGATCTCCCCGGTCCAGCAAATTCCCTCATTCGGGACAGACAAGTGAGGTCCAACCTGTAATTCAGTCACTTGTTCTCAAGCTGTGACTTGGGGCCAATGTGTACACAACAGCGCACTCAGCGAGGGGACAAGCGCCTCGGCCGCTCCTCAGCAAACCTCCCAGAGAAACCCAGGCAGTATTAATACGTTCCAGAGACAACCGGGCCCAGAGAAACACTGCCACAAAGCAAGTGTTGGCAAGGAAACAAACCCCTTTCCCCCCTTGTACTCTGACTGGCACTGAAATTTACAACATATTTGGGTCACACCTTTATCTGCAAGACAGCTTCTGCAACCTTCTCAAATCCTGCCTGTGAGTTCATGGCTGCTCTACTCAGCAGAAAGAGCACCCAACACTGCTTGTACAAGTTCTGCAAGACATTGGCCAAATACATCGCTGGGATAACATCACCCGCATTGGCGCAATTACAATTCCTTCCTGATGGAACACTGATTTTCAATGGAAGTCTCAGGTTTGGAATGACAACAGTAAATATCTGACAGCATTTACTCTCCTCCCCATTGCAGGACAAGCACATCCTATCCCCCTCCGAGGAAGGGAAAAGGGCATTATAGCTCCGTGGCTGAGTCCATCCACTTACCCTTAACTTGAGAACAGGTTTGCCTAGTGACCAGTCAATATGGTGGCCCTCCCTTGCAGGGCTGTACAGCTTAGTGGCCATGAGTCAATACAACCACTCCTCATTTCAGAGCTATGTGGCCTAGTGGCCATAGCTAAAATAGCTGCGCTCCTTAGCTTGGCTATATAGTCTGATGGCCAGAAATGGTGCTACAGAGCACATTGCTGGCGGAGAAGCTGAAGTCCATGGCAGTTCTTGCTTACCAACCTTAAAGAAACGGTCAAAAACAATGGCTCATAACATGCTTTGCACTTAGATAGGGCCACGATAAGGTGGGTGCATAATTGGCTGGATAACCATAGTCAGAGAGTTGTTGTTAACGGTTCTAAATCCTGCTGGAAAGGGATAACAAGTGGAGTTCCTCAAGGGTCTGTTTTGGGACCCGTACTGTTCAATATCTTCATCAATGATGTAGATATTGGGATAGAGAGTACGCTTATTAAGTTTGCAGATGATACCAAACTGGGTGGGGTTGCAACTTCTTTGGAGGATAGGGACATAATTCAAAATGACCGTAGCAAGTTAGAGAAATGGTCAGAGGTAAACAGGATGAGGTTTAATAAAGAGAAATGCAAAGTGCTCCACTTAGGAAGGAACAATCAGTTCCATACATACAAGATGGGAAGCGACTGTCTAGGAAGGAGCATGGCGGAAAGGGATCTAGGGGTCATAGTGGACCACAAGTTGAATATGAGTCAACAGTGTGATGCTGTTGCAAAAAAAGCAAATATGATTCTAGGTTGTATCAACAGGTGTGTTGTAAGCAAAACTCGTGAAGTCATTCTGCTGCTCTACTCTGCGCTAGTTAGGCCTCAGCTGGAGTACTGTGTCCAGTTCTGGGCACCGCATTTCAAGAAAGATGTGGAGAAATTGGAAAGGGTACAGAGAAGAGCGACAAGAATGATTAAAGGTCTAGAGAACATGACCTATGAAGCCAGGCTTCATGAACTGGGCTTGTTTAGGTTGGAAAAAAGAAGATGAAGGGGGGACATGATAGCGGTTCTCAAATATCTAAAAGGGTGTCACAAGGAGGAAGGAGAAAATTTGTTCCTCTTGGTTACTGAGGACAGGACAAGGAGTAATGGGCTTAAAGTGCAGCAGGGGAGGTTTAGATTGGACATTAGGAAAAAATTCCTAACTGTCAGGGTGGTCAATTATTGGAATAAATTGCCAAGGGAGGTGGTGGAATCTCCCTCTCTGGAGATATTTAAGAACAGGTTAGATAGACATCTGTCAGGGATGGTGTAGATGGAGCTTGGTCCTACCTTGAGGGCGGGGGGCTGGACTCGATGACCTCTTGAGGTCCCTTCCAGTCCTATGATTCTATGATGTCTATTTGTCTTGGCTGACTCCTCGCATTCCTGTGTATGGTAGAAGGGAAACGTCACCAGGAACCAATCTGAAAGCCTCCTTATGAATTCAGTGAGAATTCTCCCACTTGGCTGTTTTAGTACCCTCAGAATGCAGTAGCGGGAAGAACTGACTTGGACAGGTTGATTAACTTCACGAGGACATAAATCTACATTTTTATTATTATGCATGCCTGCCTTCTACACAGCAAGCTTTCTTCAGAGCAGAGATTTTTGCAGATGGAAACCACTGCTGCAGAGTACAACTTCTTTCATACCATGGACCTGCAAACCCATTCACAAACTTTTGGAGGACTGGTCACATTTTATTTACATACCCATTATGCAAATAACGAGCATGCAAATAAAACGTTTCCAGTCTGCCAAAAGCCCCGTCCCCCAGAGCCACTGTGAACAGCCAGTTTCAGTGACTGCCAGAGACTAAGCCAGCTGTTGGCAGCAGCTCTGGGGGCCAGGGCTTGCATACATCCCAGTCCCTTGAGACTGCCAGTGCCAGTCCCAGCAGCCCCCCACCCCTCCACTACCCCCGAGCACCAGCCACTGACCCCAGAGTCCGCTGCACCCAACCACCCAGTGCCAGCTCCACGCCCCTTAGAGCCCTGCCACCAGACATAACAGTGCCAGTCTCTTGTTTCCAGAGCCCCCCATCCCCAATATTAGCCCCATTCCCATAGCCCTCCAGTGCCAGCCCTGCCCCATAGCCCCACACTATTAACCCTGCCCCCCAAACCCCACTGTGCCAATTCGCCATCCTGGACATCCCAGTACCCCCGTGTCAGCCCCCTGGCTCTTAGAGCCTCCCAGTACTAGCCCTGTCCCTAGAACTCCCCCATGCAAGCCCCCCACCTCTTAAGAGCCCATCACCCCCAGCACTAGCTCTGCCTCTCTGACCTGGGGCTGCACTGCTTCCCAGCCACCAGCTGAGCACCACTGCCTGGGTCACAGCTGCTGTAAGGCTGCCATGCTGGGCTCTGCGCGGCTCTCCTGCGGCACAGTGAACTGCTCTTCTGTGTTCGGGAGAAGACCCTGCCCTTGCCTAGAGCTGGCTGGCTGAGAGGAGGGGCAGGACACCCCCGCTCCCAAAGCCGCGGTGGGAGGGGAGGCGCTGAGCAGCATACCCTAGCCCTGGGTCCCTAGAGCCACCACAGTCCAACAGCCAGTAGTTCATGGACCGGCAGTTGGGAATGCTACCCTACAGTGCTGTAAACATCATGCTGGTTCTAACGAAACACAGGAAAACTCCATTGGGCTGGCAAAGTATATTAAAAAAGAGCCAGAAGATTTTCCTTGGCTTCAAAAGAACAATAGGCAGCACTTACAAAGTTCATTCAAAGGTTTTACAGTAAAACTCCGATGGTCCGGCATCTGATGGTCCGGCACCATCAGGAACCCGGAAGTACTCCGGGCAGCCGGACCATCGGCGCTGCTCTGCCCCCAGCTGTCCCCATTCAGAGCTGCTGAAACTGACCAGGGGCTGACTGGGGGAGCCTGGGGCAGAGCAGCTGGAGTGCTGCCAGGTAGGTCCCCTAGCGCTGCCCCTCCAGGCTGGGGGACCAACCCGGCAGCACCC